CACGATGCAGTTGGTTTATTCAAAGCTATTCTCCTAAATATCAGGCACATTCCAGCTGAGTTTGAATGGGTTACTGCTGACCTATTCTCTCAACATACACAAATTTACCCTAAAAAGTAAGCCTCAAATTAACATGTTATTATGTTTACATCAAATATGAACAAAATTAACACTAAAGTGTCAGCCCTAAATATAATTGAATAAACCCTAAACACAACTTAATATGAATTAACCTTTAAATCCAAATACTAACATAAAACAAAAATACGTTTACACTAAATATTAACAAAAATTAATATCAATTGAAATTCATCTCCTTGAAGAGTTAGAGTTACCGGTTATGTTTATGTTTCACCCGGTGAAAAATGTTTATGGTTTCACCTGATGAAAAATATGGTTGCCCGTTGATGGCTAGAGAAACTTATACTACTAGGGCAACAAATTCATGGTTTCATTAAGGGTAGGTTTGTCCATGTGTGTATATATATGTAAAAAGAGAGAGAGAGAGAGTCCATTTTTTTTGTTAACCAAATAAATAGTACAAACTTTGTTAACGAGGGCATTTATGTCTTTTTCATTATTAATACCACATTCCTTAAATATTTCATTTATCCAGTTATTACATTCGTTAATTATTTCATTCACTTAGGGGCCGTTTACCAAATCCTTATCCGGGTAAGCGTTTATTGGGAAAATTCAACACTATCACTACTTACTAGGTAAGATTTTGGTCCACCAAAATGGTATCATATGCAACAATTTACCCAATACACGCTAACCTTGGTAAGAGTCGTTGCCCTCATTTACTGGGTAGGACTCTTGGTCCTTGCTTTCGCTCTTACCGGGTAAGATTCTTGGTCTTTGCCATATGCATCCGGTAAGATAACGTGACTTGTTAAGCGCTTACCCGGGTAAGTGTTTATTAAACGGTCCCTCAATTATTACATTCCTTAATTATCTCATTCATTTAATTGTTTCTCCTATGAAATTTCTGATTTCACCTATGAACATGTTCAAACTTTTTTAACTATCTCATTCACTCTCTGGTTTCATCTATGAATTTTAGATAAAAATCATTGTTTCACTTTTTGGTTCACCTATAAACTTTGATTATATGGTTTCACTTATGAACTTTAGATAAAAATCATTGGTTCATTTTTTGGTTTACCTATGAACTTTGATTATCTGATTTTACCTATGAACTTCAAAATCATTGTTTCACTTTCTGATTTCACCTATGAAAACTTTCTGATTTTATCTTCAAACAAAAAACATTTAAAATATTATTATTGATTATTTTCCAAAAATAAATATGAATATCTTCCAAAAAAATAAAAATCATTAAATAAAATTATTGATTATTTTCAAAAATAAAAACAATTTGTTCCAAAAATGCCCTTCATTTAATATAAATTAATTTGTTTCCTTTTTTATTAAATTATAACCTCCCATTAATCACAACCGTGTTTGAAAAATGAAAGACTTAGATCGGTTAACAAAGTTAATACTACTTACTTGGTTAATAAATGATTGTGCCCCTATATACAGAGACACAATCATTTTTAACCAAATAAATAGTATTAACTTCACAGAGCCGTTCATTCTTTTGATCAACGGTCATGGTTAAGGGGGGTTATAAAATGATGAAAAAGGAAATAAATTAAATTGAATTAAATTAAATTAAATGGAGGGAAATTTTGGAACAAATTGTTTTTATTTTTCGAAGATAATTATGTTTACTTTTTTGGAAGATAATCATCAACCACATCTCTTCTCTCTCCCTCTTGCACTGCTTCGTCGAATTTTGTTTAATATGGTAATTGTTTTTATTTTTGGAAGATCATCATATTTTATATGGTGTTTGTTTGAAGTTTGTAGTGTTGTTTGATCTATGAACTTTGATTTTTCCGATTTTTTTTACCGAAGTTCATAGGTGAAACCGGAAAGTTCATAGGTGAAACAATGATTTTTTGTTTAAAGTTCATAAGTGAAACAATGATTTTTGTTTAAATTGTTTCGTGCATGAACATTGGTTGTTCTAAAAAATTTACCAAAGTTCATAGGTGAAACCACATTGTGAATGAGATAATCAAGGTAGTTTAAAGTTTAAACAAAGTAAATGAGATAATTAAGGGAATGTGATAACTAAGTAAATGAGAGAATTGAGGAATGTGCATCAATATGATCTAGAGAAAATTTGAGAGCTAATGAGGTTTTTAACAGATCATTCGAAACAAAGAAAACAAGCTCGGAAGAAGTCCGGGAGTTGGCATCGAAAACAGGAAAATAGTCCCTCGCCACTTCTCCCGTGACTTGGGTCGCGTGCCTGGTCGCGTGCGAGTTCTGAAGAATCCCGAACGGATTGCATATATTTGTTTATTTGATCATTTTGATTCTTATAGTTTAGGATAATTATTTAGTTTTAGACTTTTAGTTATTATTATCAGTTTTATAATTATAATAAATTAAACCTTTTTAGAGTTTTATCTCTCCTTTAAGAGTTTTCTCTCAATTTTCCGAGTGCTACGCTGGTAAGCTCGTTATCCTTTAAGGGTTTAAATGCTTGTCGACCATTCCGCAAATTCCCGCTGTGTCAGCTGGTATCAGAGCAGGATTCGCCTGTCGTTTTCACTAACAATGGTGGATCATCAGCCCAGACCTAGAAGAGACGAAGGCGGCCATTGTCACGGCTCTTGCTACTCTCACAGCGGCTGTTAACAAACACTATCCCAACCCCGACAACGGCAACCGTTGGAGAAGGGACAGGCAGGAAGAACCTATTAGGGTTCCGTACAACGGTAACAACTATCGTCGTATTATCCAATTAGTTTGTTTTGAAAACAAACGACCATCTATTCGTGAGAAGTCGCCGAAAAAAGTCGTAATCTTGCCCGAAAAAATTCGTAATCCTCCAATCACAAGAAGAAATCCGTACCGACCCCAAAGAATCGGCAACAAATTTCGTGTTCGTGGTTAGGGAAACCAAAGGCGAGTTAGTAGAGGACATTCCCGAGCCCTCAAAATCTTTGTCACAAGAAGTTGAGAAGGTTGAGCTCGAAGATGATGTTTCTATTACTCCAACACCTAAGGCTCTGAGTCAAATTGAGACGATTCCCGGTAAAGTTCCTGACAAAGTCTCGCTTGTATGGAGGTGATGACGACAACATCCTTTGGGACTTGAAGATTGTTCAGCCTTTCGAATTTTGGAAACCGAGTTGTGGATCCGCATGCATTGGAGACAAGAATGTTATATGATTCGGCGTTGCATCAAAGATTTAGATGATGTTGATTTTCAAGTGAACTCGAAGGCGAGTTCTTTTCAAGTGAGGGTTTCTGATATAGAGAGAATTCGAGAGTTAATGAGGTTTTTAGCAGATCATTCGGAATGAAGAATACAGGCTCCGAAGAAGCCCAAAAGTTGGCATTAAAATGGGAAAACAATCCCTGGCGCGACTTCTCCCTCGATTTGGGTCGCGTGCTTGGTCATGCACGAGTTCTGAACAGTCCCGAATGGGTTGCATTTAGTTGTTTATTTGATTATTTTGTTTCTTAATTAGTTTAGGGTAATTATTTAGTTTTAGACTTTTAGTTATTATTATCAGTTTTATAATTAGATTATTGATTAATAAATTAAACCTTTTTAGAGTTTTATCTCTAGTTTCAAGAGTTCTCTCTTAATTTCCTGAGTGCTATGCTGGTAGGCTCGTTATCCTTTGAGGGTTTAGACGCTTGTCGACCCTTCCGTAGATTCCCACTGCGTCACAATATTCGAAAAAAGACGAAAATACCCCGATTAGCAAAGTTTGTACTAATTAGACGGTTAACAAAAGGTGCCTCTATATGTGTGTGTGTGTGTATACAGACATATGTTTAGCACATCTATCTACATTGGAGGGAGTTCCATGCAGTCACGTGATGAAACTAATATGATTTGGGCTTATGTTACAACAACCAAGTATTGAAATTATGTTCTACACGTGTTCTTTAAATTCTGGTATGGATTTATGTATTAAATTCATTACACCACAATGCTAATATGGTTGGAGGACTAAAACCTAAAGAAAGCAACATTTTCTGTCTAACACTATGGTGGCAAATGCATAATTAGGAACAAAGATAACTTTATTTGGGTAGTAGTCTTTCTTTGGATGTTTGCTTATTGAAAAATGAGAAAGCATGCCAAATATTGTTGTGCCTGTGGCCTGTCACATGTTTGATGCTCTTCAGGATGCAGGGACTAAATTTCTTATATATTCATACACACACATATGTGTGCGTATTAAAATATTTTAACTGTAATTTTCAATTTTAATTATGCAGATTCCCGAAAGGAACTCCTTGGGTCCGCTATTATGGTTCATACAAAGGTCTGAGTGTAAATATCTTATGGCCGGGAAAGGATGCTGCTTTAGGTGAGTGTTAGGTTTTCAGTTTGTAAGATATTGACTTTTCCTGTGACCATTATGGGGACTTTTTATATTCTATCATCAATTCTTATGCTCTTTCGAGCCTTTAACATAGTTTGATTTGTAGTTTTATATTGTATATGTATGTTAGACTTGGGCATAATAATTATATTTCCATGTTAATCAATCAAAGTCCTATTTAAGGAGGTATAGAGGATTTGCAGGATTGAAAAACTGTATACTATTGAACAATTGCCGTGGCTTTATACAAAGAATACAACAATTGGAAAGAAGAAATAATTGGCTAAGAATGTGCAATATCACAACAATTAACTAAATATAAAAATACACCTTAAATGGAATTTGAATGTGGGTTTGACTTTCCTTTTGCTTGAGGTATGGATTGATCCGTAATAGTATTTACTAATCAAAAAGAAGAACCAATGTTCAATAAAATTACAGTTTCTTATATTACCTTTTTTGAGTGTAGCTATCCTGATAGGTTAGGGGTGGAATCTCCTACCCCCGTAATTGGTTCCTAGGATTTAAAAATTTCTTTTTCACAGCATTTCTCGCTTAATATCAATTGTGACAACGAACTATCTTTGCTTATAACAACTATGATAGGTGTGTAATGGAATTCAGAGGTTCTACCTCTCCGTTCTATTATGATTTACAAAATCGAATTCTATATTTATTCTGCATAGTTGTCACACCTTTTGGGTATGGCCACGAATTTGTTATGACACATAAAGTTAACATATCTGGCTTGCAAATACATAGTGCACTTGGTTTCTTAACTATAATTGATTATCATACAAGTATCCATGCATCATACTTTTGCTTTTACTGATGCATCACATTCATGGAATTATTTGGTCATGGAAATAAACTTAATTCTCGATTATTATTCCTCAGGAGTTGACAGTGTTGGTACTGTTTCTGCATCTCTTGTGACTTATGCTGCTATTCAAGCTTTGCATCCAGACCTTGTTATAAATGCTGGCACTTCTGGTGGCTTTAAAGTACGGGTTTCATTTCTATTAATCCATAATCATTTCATTCTCAAAGATTATTAGCTTTTTGTAGTCTATTTTTAAGTTTCTTTCCTTTGGGGAGACCACAATTCATATTTCTTCTTTCTAAGATGAAGGTCTGTGTCTATAACAATGCTCTGGGATGCCAATTTTCTTTTAAAAATAAGTTGGTAGAGAAACATCTTTGTGTCGATGCAATGGCTGCTTTTGTGGTATAATGGTGTTATACCATGTGCACAAAAGGTTTCACATTAATCATTTACTAACAGGCGTACCGTTTATTGTCTTATTTCATTTATGTAGTTCTTATCTTTATACATGTTGCATGTCTCAACGGTTGCTTCTTTAACATGAATTCATAACCTTTAGACATTTGCAGGCAAAAGGAGCTTGTATTGGTGATGTCTATGTTGCATCAGAAGTTGCTTTTCATGATAGAAGGATACCAATCCCAGTAAGCTGCACTTATCCTTCCTTGCATTTTCATATAACCAGTTTGGGAGCCCACCTGGCCTACAGTAAATCCTGAAATTTTATTGTGAATATGTTTATGGTTTTCATATTGATTGACCGTAAGCGAGAATTCTAGAAGGTGTGACTCCTGAGGATGTCTTTCAAGTGCATGGGTATCATTAAGATATAAATGTGAAGCATGTCTTCAGAGTTATTCTTTAGTATATGAATACCCGATGTTTGACACAGAAAGTATTGTTTTTTTTAACACTGAGGTTAAGGACTCCATTTGAAGTGGTAGAGGCCAGAGTATTCTTGGAAATAACATAGTCTGCACACAATCAGAAAATAGAACCTCTCGCCATGTACAACATATATTTTGTGGTTGAGTTCAGATGTTTTCTTCCTCCCCACATGGATAGAAGTTGATAAACCTGAATTAATTCTAATTCCCACATGAAAAAAAGTAAAAAATCGCAGGAAGAAAACAATCGTATTTGATCACTCTACATTGCTAACATCAAGAAATAGAATAACATTATCCTATTTTGACACCAAGAAATAAATTCTAAAAATAGAAAAGAATGCTCTGGATATATTTATTGTAGACAAATCGTTTGATTTTTATATCCGATTACTTTTAATATGCACTTAGTTATTTTCTACCTGATACTGCAGGTTTTTGATCTGTATGGAGTTGGTGTGCGGCAGGGTTTCTCAACACCAAATTTGTTGAAGGAGCTCAACCTTAAGGTATACAACACGATGATAAAATTGAACACCAGCCTCTAGCATTTGCAAATGTCTGAGACTATAGATTCAGTTTTAATTTTTGTAAATTCCTAGTTCATGCCTCATGGAATTCCAAGGATTTCATAGATCCTTTAAAATACATCTAGATATTTTAAGAGCCCTCGTTTGTTCAATGAGATCGACAACTTAGGCCCTACATCTGAAAATGCTATGCACAGCTTGCTTATAGAATATGATCTAAAATTTCCACAGTTTTTTTTTAAATACGAACACAACATTTTGAAAACAATAAGATGCTTTGCTATGCAACCTATATCACCTGTATAACTTGGTTCCGAATGGTACTTCTTTGTTCTGTAAAATTTACTAAAGTTGGAGGTATAGGATGACACTGAGGACTGTTATGGTTTGTGGGGAAGTCTGGCCCACCAATGACATACATATATGAATATACAGAAATGTGAATGCTTAGATGAATGTTGGATTTATGAGAATGGATAGGATCGGAAATGAGAACGCTCAGGAAAATTTTGGTGAGTCTGATTGAAGAGAAACTCGGACAATACCGTTTGAGATTGTTTCCGCATCTGCAGCGTGGATATTTGGATGCAAGGGTGATGAAGGGAGATGTGTATCTAGAAGGTGGTATCAGACTAGAAATATAGTCACAACTAATCAAGTTACTTTATATAGAAGTAAATCATGAGTTAATTTAATCACACCCTTTTTCTTGTAAAAAAGGAATACCATAGATTTACGGTTGCAATATATCATGGTTAGCCATTTTGCAAATTTCTATTTATCAAGCAAGGTTATCTTTGTAAATGTTATTTTTCCTTTTATAAGACCCAGTTTGACAAGAGCTGTATCTCTCTGATTCCAAATTCAGTTTCTAATTATCTTTCTGCTAAATTTCAGGTTGGCAAACTTTCAACTGGAGATTCTTTGGATATGACCCCATTGGATGAAGCTTCCATAGTTGCAAATGATGCAACTGTCAAAGACATGGAGGTAAGGTTTTGCATTATGTTGTCTTCGTATACTAGTCAGTTTTGAAAATGGGGTGGTAACAGGTAATCGGCCAAGTGTATCCGGGTTGTCGCTAAATCCCAACCTCCTTGGAAGGGTTTAAGCCTCACCAAAGAGTGTGTGTGAGTTCTTCTGTATATGAAATTTAACAAAAAATTTGCAATATTTAGCAAAAAAACTTAGTTGCTGCTAACAGGAACTCATATCTTTTGAAGTTAACTATCCTTGAAGCAACACAAATCAACATGAAAGATGCAACAGTTCCCATTTTGCTATCTCCTGTGAAAATTGCAACATCTTTTTTCTTGGAAGCTTTCAATTTACAGTTGCCTATTTTGTTGTCGTCAAATGCAAAAAAATATGACATCAAATCATTCCCTTATTTTTTCAATCTGCATATCGGTTGTGTGAAACTTTGCAATTTTAACCAGTCAAGGGACACTGTGAATTACACCTATGGTTTGTTTCCGATTACAGCTTGATATTTAAATGAACAAATGTATCATCGTTGCAACGTTTGACTATGGAACCTAGGAAGGGCATAAACTGACCTAATCATTTGTTTTACAAACTATTTGGTGTTCAGGGAGCTGCTGTTGCATATGTAGCAGATCTCTTGAAAGTCCCTGCAATATTTGTGAAAGCCGTCACTGATATCATTGATGGAGATAAACCGACTTCGGAGGAATTTTTGCAAAATTTGACAGCAGTGACAGTTGCACTCGACAAAACAGTTGCTCGAGTGGTTGATTACATCAGTGGAAAATCCATCTCAGAACTTTAAACCGTTGTTACCATCCTGTTTTGATGGAGGTAACAGCAATTTTTTGCAATACCTTTAATGAAATATGATTGATTTGTGTATTGAACAAATGATATGTCTATTACGTGTGCCTTATGTATGTTTGAGCTTATTATTAGTGTGTGTGCCCATTGATATTCAAAACCTGTATAAGAATTGTCTTCAATGATGCATTGTACAAATCCAAAACATGTAAAAGATGCAATTTTTTTACAAGTTTTGCAGTTCTTGCAATGCTTGAGGTGTGCTTTTTTATCATCTTGGTAGTTTCTTCTTTCGAGGGTGGAATTGAACAATCCTCCTCTTAAAGTGATATTTATGCTTATATTTGCATATCGAATGCCCATCAAATGGAACAAAGCTCTCTCATTATGCACGGTTGGTTCGGTCTGATTGGAGTTTAGGATCTTAAAATCTCATATTTGTGGGATGTTGGGTGAATAATCAAGTGAATATAGAGGTTATGAGTTTGGATTTCATACTTATGTCGGGTGATAAAATCGGCATGAGTTACTAATTACCTTGTGTGTGAACATATAACTATTAGGGTCTTTCTCCTGTGCATGTACACACACACACACATAGGAGACCCATCATGCACATTCATCTTGATCAAGGACTTTTTGCTCTTTTAGTTATTAGGGTTACCTCTTGCAAACAAAAGTTCTACTTTTTGGGTAGAGGCTAGGTCTGCCTACATCCTAACCCTTAGACCCCACTTTTGGCGGATATATTGGGCTCGTTTAGTTCGGTTACTTCTTCAACCACTCTACTCTTTAGGGTAGATGACAGGTTTGCATACATCCCACCCCCTAGACACCCACCTTCTGGTGGATATAATGGGGTTGTTTAGTTTGGTTGCTTCTCCCACCGCTTTACTTTTTGGGTTAGAGAATAGGTATGCTTATAGGCCCCACTTATGGTGGGATATATTGGGCTCGTTTGGTTTGGTTACTTCTTGGAATCACCAAAGAGCAAAAACCGTCACCGGCTAGAGTTCACACCAAAAACACTCCACAAACCTAAACCCTAATTACAAGTCACCAGTCATATACTTACCTCTTTAGTGCATGACCTCATGACTTTCTTGCTCTTCAACTAACTCTCCATAACTCCTAAGCAAGAAAACCATAACGTCCCTTCTTTGCTCTCCCTTTGAGCATTTTGACTTGAGATTTTCGTGCTATAAACAATGCAATAAATATGTCTATATAAACCTACCTCTATGAACTTTATATCTCACCCTCTTTCTTAAGGAAAGTCACAGGTTTATTCATCCGAAAGAATGATTCAAGAAGAAATGACAACAAAGGCCGATGGTGGAAAAGCTAACATCTTGGCACTTGGCAAAGCATTCCCTCACCAGCTTGTAATGCAGGATCTGCTTGTTGATGGGTATTTTAGAGACACTAACTGTGATGATCCTGAACTCAGACGGAAGCTCACTCGACTCTGTAAACATCCGTCTTTTCAGCTTCTCATTTATTATCGTTTTTTTGGGTTTTTAAAACGAGTAGATACGTACCAGAGGACTAGGATTAGTCCTTTCTGCCAATGGGTGATTCAGCCAAGTGGCATGGTTAACTTTCCTAGTCCACTAGTCCTAACCGGTCCTAGTGTAATTGGTCTTTTGTGTCAACTTGGTCATATTGGTCTTTGGCTGGAGAAATTCTGTCCTAATCGGTCCTAGGATAATTGATCTTCTACGCCAACGGTCCCTCACCACTTGGTCGGTCCCGTAAATTTTAGTCTGAATCTGAATTGGTCCTTCAGGTTTTTTGTTCCTTCTTAAGATTCATTTGAATATTAGGGTGCGTTTGGTGACAAAATGGAACACGGTTTTTGTCCCATGTTTGGTTCAACGTTAAACTGGTATAGGACCGGAATGAGTGGTAGAAAACCACATTTTCTTTGTCTCACCAAAATAGGAGGAACAAAAATCAGGAAATGGGACATGATTAGTAAATTGCTAAACTTCTCATATCAAATTAAAACCCTAAAACCTTCTACCATTCTTTCATCCGTCTACCTCACTCTCACCGTCCCGTCCAGGATTATCCACCTACCAAACACACCCTTAACGAACATATTTAAGGAAGACATTTGTGTATTTTACTAAAACTTTTAGAGCTTATAATCAAAACATGTAAATGTCACAATAACAGCCTACCTATCCCCAACTGAACCATCTGAACCGTAACCGGGTTCACTTGACCCATCTAGTGGTCTAGGTCAGGTCAGTCTTTGGCCACCGGTCTTGGTTTCTTAAGAAATATTATTTCTGATTTGGTCTCTTTTTTCACAGGCAAGACTACAACTGTGAGAACAAGATATGTAGTTATGTCACAGGAGATACTGGAGAAGTACCCTGAACTAGCACTTGAAGGCCTGCCAACAGTCAAACAAAGACTTGATATTTGCAACAAAGCTGTCACACAAATGGCGATTGAAGCCTCACAAGCCTGCATCAAAAGCTGGGGCCGGTCCGTTTCCGATATCACCCACTTGGTCTACGTTTCCTCTAGCGAAGCCCGACTCCCGGGTGGCGATCTTTACTTGGCCAAAGGGATCGGGCTAAGCCCGGACACAAACCGGGTCATGCTCTACTTCTCGGGCTGCTCCGGAGGCGTGGCCGGGCTTCGTGTCGCCAAAGATATAGCCGAAAACAATCCCGGAAGCCGAGTCTTGTTAGCAACCTCGGAAACCACTATTATCGGATACAAACCACCGAGTGTCAACCGTCCTTACGATCTAGTTGGGGTTGCACTCTTCGGAGACGGTGCAGGCGCCATGATAATAGGGTCCGGCCCAGTTTCGGGCCTTGAACGCCCATTATTTGAGTTGCATACTGCCATACAAAACTTCTTGCCTGATACTGAAAAAGTGATTGATGGAAGGCTGAATGAAGAAGGAATTAGTTTCATATTAGCAAGAGAGCTTCCTGAAATCATAGAGGAAAATGTGAAGGGGTTTTGTGACAAGTTATTGGGCCATTTGGGCTGTGATGATATGGGCTATAATGATTTCTTTTGGGCTGTCCATCCTGGTGGGCCTGCCATATTGAATAAGCTGGAGAAAAAACTTGACTTATGGCCAGAAAAGTTGAGTGCAAGTAGAAGGGCATTGGCTGATTATGGGAATGCAAGTAGTAATACAATTGTGTATGTGTTGGAGTATTTGATAGAAGAGAGTTTGATGAAGAAAAAGGAAGGGAAAAAGGGTGGGCCTGATTTGGGCCTTATTTTGGCTTTTGGGCCTGGGGTTACGTTCGAAGGGATTCTTACGAGGAACTTAACCGTGTAATAAAACCGATATCAATCTTTGTTTGTTCTTGGATTTGTTTTTAATAATCGGTAATAACGTATTGTCCGGAAGTTGATCGATTTGTTTGATATGTTTATGGATCGTATTTACTATTTGTGAATCTTTTTTTATGTGTTTTTTGAAATGAACTTGTTAATTTTCACAGATAGTTGCTTATCTATACTACTTTATAAATCAAATTTATCAAAAGTTTTAAAAACAATTTTTAATGCACGAAGTACTATACATTTATGCACAAAGTCTTAAAAATAACTCATAATGCATTAAGTACTACTACTTTATGCATTCAGTCTTAAAATATTTTATTCTACAATTAAAATAACATATAGTATAAGTTATCAATGTACATTACTTTTTCTTTTCATGTTTACAAGATACTTTTGACTTCTTTCACTTATGCATTCATCCTTTCATACTTTTATGTCTTCTTCCCATCCCCAAGGAGAGATTCAAAATTAAATTCATCATGAGTTATCAAAAGTTTTCTCATTCATCTTTCATTCAATTACTTTAGAACTTTCAGTCTCATTCTCGATCTCTTGATTCTTTGTTCTTGGTGTAAATCGAACATATTTGTGGAGTCCTTTAAATATGTTAGATTTTAAACTGTCATACAATTTTTTTCATCGATAGACTGTAATTGGAACCATAACTCATTTATTCAAATTGTATTAATATGTAAAGAACAAATGTAACTTATATCATCGTTAAATCTTTTTTAATAAAACCAGTGAAACTTCAAAATCGTTAATATTCACGGCTCTCGCCGCATTGCACGGGTACACAACTAGTGAAGCATGAAATGGTTTTACCACGATACAACATTTCATGCACCTTTCAATGATCATTGTCGATTATTACGCTGCGTTCTCAAATCTAGGAAAGGAAAAAAGAGATTTTTTTTTTATTTGTGTTTCTGAGAGTGAGGGGAAAGAAAGGAAACCGAAGAAAAAAAGATAAGATTTCATGTTTTTGAGAAAGAGAGAAAGGAAAGGAAAGATGTCAATTTTACAAATATGTCCTTATTTATTTTGTAATGGATTGTAATTGATGGGTAGATGAGTAATTTTATAAATAGTTTTTATTTTTATTTATTTTCCCTTCTATATCTGGGATTGGGAGGAAAGTTTTGAAAAGAAAATCAATCTTATTTTCCTTCTAAAACAACTTGAGAACACGCGATCTCTTCTTTCCACATTCCTTCGTAAAAAAAGACTAAAAAAACACAATGTCAGTGTAATAAAGAACTCTTCTTCTTAAACGATGCAAAAAAGTTTCAAAGATTTATATTTCATTTCCAATTTGAATAATAATATGTTGATCTTGTAATATTTGATGAAATAAATACCAATTTTTTGAAATAATGATTGAAAAACCTGTAATGGTGGATCAGCTGATCATTAGTCATTTTTATATTGATTGATAACTTGACATACACATCATCAAATGTTACAAGTTCTGTAAGTCCCAGTCTAAACTTTACATTAATTAAGGAAAAAAAATTTCTTTGTTATACTAAATTGGAACTAAAGGATTGTTTACAAAACACTTGCTACTTTTAACAGGTTACTAAGCACTTATTGTCATTTACTGGGTATGAAATGCTTACCTAGTCAAAGATTGACGGTTTTCATCAACAATCTTATGATGTTATTTTGCTAAACAAAAACTCTACCCAATAAATGAATGTGACGACTCTTTTCCGGTTAACACTTGCCAAATAAAAGACACTTGTACTAAAGGGCCGTTTATCAAAGCACTTACCCGATAAGTGATTACCGATAAAATTTAACACTATTATGTACTTACCGGGTAAGATTTTAGTCCACCAAAACGACATAGTATACAATAATTTACCCGGTATACGCTTACCGTGGTAAAACTCGCCGCCGTCACTTACCGGGTAAGACTCTTGATTCTTGTCTCGCTCTTACCGGGTAAGATTCTTGGTCCTTACTATACTCATCCGGTGAGGTAATGTTACTTGATAAGCGCTTACCCGGGTAAGCGTTAGGTAAACGGCCCCTAAGTTCTTTTGATGGCTAAGAATCTTATCCTTAAATAAGAGTGATGACTCTTAAACAATAAACGTACCCAAATTGTGCAGGTAAACAGCCTCTAAAGTAACAATCATTGCATTTGTCCATAAAACGCAATCAAAGAAAATCTTGAAATTAACTTAAAGAAACGGGTTTATAATTTAAACCACAACCATGTTGCCAAATTTACAACCATCCACCCAATCACATGCGGTAAAGGTTAATCAACTAAAACTTGGACATGTATAAATGGAAATGAAATCGAAGATCACATCCCGAAGAGTTAAGAGATCCACGATACGATTTTTGGCTTAGACGACTCCAGAAGGTAGACGTAGAACAAGTTGTCCTCCAAAAACACTGAAAGAATAACGAGCACAAGCACAAACATTATCACACGATAAAATGCCTATATGGTACTTGTATTATCGGATAAAATATTATTCAGTCATTGCATCTTATGTTGTGAAGAAGAAAGAAAAAAGATTTGTGCTACCCTCGAGAACGCCCCCACACTGTAGTGGTCCCACAACCATCATGGGGTAGGTAAATCATGGTGTTCAAAGACAGGGTGGGCGGAGCCGGATTTGAACCAGAGACAACGTAGAAACTCCACCACCTTTCTACCGAGGCTATTGTATCTTATGTTTTGATCATTTTGCCCAATCTTGTGTTGATATAATCTTTTCTAAGTACCTAATATTTATGTACAGCAAATGCAACAAATAAACCCACACGCCCTTCTCACCTTCTTGGGAGGCCAAAGGCCCAGATGTCTCGCTAGGCCAAATTGTAGTCATATTCTATTATGTGCAACATTAGGTGTCTACCCGGTATATCCCATCAGTGGGGTCTTGGCAGGGTGAGATGTAAGCATACCCGACCTCTACCCCACAGAGTTGAGCAGGTTGTTTCAGTGAACCTTTGTTATCTTTTTTCTTTCTTTTTTGAATTTAGAAAATTCCAAAAGCAAGCGCTAACATAAGTTGATGAGAACCAAAAGTTTATAACTCGTCTAACCTTTTCACATAGTAGTAACAGAAGTCTGCTAATATGAAAGTCTGAACGATTTCTGAGATTAGAACCATGGACGGCCATAAACCGTAACCTAGGGCAGTAAGTAGATGGCCACGACTATCCAAAACCTGTCGAATTGAAAGCAGAATAAGCAATTAATGTACTAAATCTTACTTATTTCCAGAAACCGGAAAAAAGCAAATGAAAAGTAACATGAAATAACAAATGGCCCTTGAAAATCATGGTAATTTCCATTTAACAAAAACTGATAAAAAATTGCAACATTCCCATTTTAGCAACTTTATAAATTAGTCTAGTTTAGGAGGTGGGTGTCTTTGCAGAATGAGTAGGAGGTATGAGGTTCGACTCCAGGTACAACCCACATGCTCTTCGGACACGCGATTTACTCCCCCATGATGGCCGTGGATGGGTGCTGGGGGGGCACTCCAGAGAGTGGTGTCATACTTTTTTTTTGCATAAACTTTGTAAATTACTTATTTGTCCATTATATTATTGATATTGATTCCACAAATATTCTCCTATTGTGTCACTAACTCGCTATTGAAGGGTGTGAGTTATCTACGACGTTCGACTAGTTGAACATTTATTCTGAATCATGTATCAATTAAACTGTTGCACTTATCCTAGGACAGTAATTGTATGATATATTGATACTTGCTGGTAGGAAAGAATGTCCATACATAGATATTTATCCTACATAGATATTAAAATGCTAAAAAATAGTTCTTCTGAGTCAAACCTGAAGAACCCAATGAGCACAACTCAAGAACCTGGCAACACCGAGAGCGAATACATAATGAGCTGTGAATGGTTCAACAATCTGCCAAACAGAGTTAGACCCAAGTAAGCAAAAGAAAAATAAAGGGCAAAATGTCGGTGAAATTGAGTCATAAAATTCAATTAAATAACACCATTAACCTTTGTGTTCTGCATGACCCTAAGTTGAGGTAGAACAGAAACTGCTTCAAGATAAACGCAGAATGCCCAAAATATCCTGTTCATAATGTGATGTGATGTTGATGGATGAACTAACAAAGCTAATACCGCACAAGGAACAGCCTACAAAAAGAGTTGACATAAAGGTAAGATTTTTCTGAAATATCATACAAAAAGTTCAACACTTGTACTTGTTGGTAAGTTTTTTATTTCAATCCCCTATTTATACATAGCAGACGACTACCTATTTATCCACAAAATTCGCTAATTTTCTCGTAGTTGGAGGATACTCCAGGCATTTGCCAAATACTTATTAACTTTTACGTAAAAATTATGTGGTTAGTTAAACATAGCGATTTTCATGGCATGGAGCTAAATGATAATGTAATTAAGAGGTTGAAAATTCTGAAGCATATTGGAACAAAGGGAGAAGTAGTGTATCATTTCATAGTGCAAACTGCAAAAAAAAAAAAAAAAAGGAATATTCGTCAGCAGCAACTAAAATAACAGACTGAAGAAGCGAAAAGGTTGGTCGGTTTATAAATGCATCCTGCTCCAGATGAAGTAATAATATTAGACACAAATTTGACATGTAACCCTTTTCGCAATACGTGCTTCAAGGAATTTTTTTCTTTGTCAAATATCTAAAGTACCCTCCACAAAGATGAAATAAAGGAATCTTGTAGACCTTAACCACTGACAAATTATTGAACTTATTTCTAGTCGTAATGGGCAAATGGGTAAATTTGCACATGAAAACTTTCGAGGAAAGGAAATTCCACAAAATAAAACATGAGCTGATTTTAAAAAATTAACGAATCTTATGAACCCAAATTAATATACTTATAATGACAAAATGAGCAAATAGGTATTTTAACATGGTAACTTTCCAAGAAAAGAAATGTTGCAACTTTCAGGAAACATCCAAGAGAACAAAAGGATGCAATTTTCATGGAACAGATATGTGTGATGTATCAACACTCAAATTTTAAAAGGGAAAACATGAGTTCATTGCTGCAAATTATTTTCCAATATCTATGATGAGTTAACTTCAAACTCATGCAAACGTGAGGATGCACAAGACTTACCACATAGTATATTGCAAAGTTGTCTTTGTCCTCCATGTAGCTTGACTTCAGTCTGAAACGAATCATAAAGATAACCCACAATGTTGCAGCTAATGTAGATAAATCAAGCAGGGTGTGTATATCATATTCCATGACAACACTACAGTACAGTCTAACAGCCAAAAACAAAGCCGTCAGTTCTTGCGATTTGAGTGATATGCCTGCAATGAAGCGCAACACAGTACACTAAACAAGATCAACATTTTTTAGACTGTAATGCCATAAAGAAAAAGCAAAGCCAAAAAAAAAATACTGCTATTGTCTGAATTACATTCACATAACATGTCGCATGTAAAAATCACACCTTCATACCTCCTTGCACCAAATGCGATTCATAAAATGAAAATGTTAAATGGCCAAAACAAATACTTCCACTTTTCCAAAATAAGTACAAAATTTGACTCGACATATATTAGCTAGGGTATGTGTAAACCAACAAAAATAAAAAATGGTAACAATTCATAGGCAAAGTTGCACAATAATCTAGACAAACTCACAAAATCTATAATATTACTTTAGTCAAAGTGAATTAAGATATGACCATAATCATCTTTATAAACATTAGTACTAGTTCCTATCATGCTCCCTTTCATCAACAAGTTTGAAAGAGAAGACATGGATCCTGAGGGCATTGAACAAGTTTCTCAATACTTCTTTCACACCCTGGTTTCTGAGCCATAGAACTATTAAAAAGGTTAGATGAGTTGAAAGGGAGGAAGAAGACGGGGAGCATTAATTGTTCACACCTTTGTCTTTGATCATCAATTCTCTTTCATTTTTGTTCAAACATGAATTAAAAAACGAAGTAAAATACATAGGGGAAAGAGAGTGTAATTCTCTTGCATCTGCCTCAATTGTATTTGGCAATTTTAGTACAACATTATCCATGTCTTCACAAGTGAAATTGCATATAAACCTCTTCAGTTAACTTCTAAATGATTATAAAGTACCCCCTCGTGTTATACACATGTAATTTTGCTGGAAGTTTCTGAAAATATGTATGAAATAAATATCTTTATGTTTATGGTTTACATGTTTCTACAACGATGATCTTAATACTATCATAACAATAAAATATGATGATCTCCATGCAAGTTGCCACAAAATTTGATATTCATTAGGAGTGTCATATCGTGTCGTAATGTTGTCAACTTGTCGGTTAGTACTGCCTGGTGTTTAATGCATTTTCAGTTAAAATATTAACATAAGTATAAGCTTTCCCAACAAATGATAGTCACAGCTTTCAAAAGTTTATCGACATGCAATGATGTTGAACCTTGCCTCCAAACAGCAGATGGCAAATCCCTCGCCTTTAGCAAATTCACCTTGTATAAGAAGTAGGCATAAGTGCTTGACCTAGAGTCACAACTAACCATAAACACGATGTGTCAACTTAAGCTTCACTTTTCCCTCAACCCACTAGATAACAGCATGACAAAGATATATTACCATCCTACAGCTGATTTATCATTTCATCAAAGCATGGTCTTAAAAGATCTGATACCAGCTGATGAAGTATCTTGGTGGTTTATTGTTTGCTAAACCCTGATAACTTTCCTCAAAAAATTTAGGCGTGTGTTCTATTTACAAGTGTCGCACATATCAAATATACAATTTTCCTATAAAAGACAGCAATATGTGGAACCAAACAAAATATTTTTCTACTGACTACATCTCAAACAAGTACTACCAAAAAGACACAAGACAAATATACCATCCTTTGACCCATGAAAGTTTACTTGACCAAGTAAAAGCACAAAATAGGTTGCAATCATAATTAAAACCAAGCAGAGAATGAAGAACTGGACAGGCTATCTCACACCTGTTTGGCACTATGAACAAACTAACAAGATCATAATATCCTTAACCCAGTTGTTGATTCTTAAATGAGTGCAGGCGAGACTTGATCTATAATCACCAACAGACTAATTTCACCACTTGCATTAACATTTGCAACATCCATCTAATGAAATCTACACATGATGAAGGCTAGCAAATACAAAATCGCAAAGAGGCATCTACAATAATGCTACCTAGATTTTATAGTACCAATCCCAAAAGCTACATCGTAAATAAACAAAGAAAAACTGATATTAACACTACTACAAACTTAAACCAAACCAAACCAAACGAACCCAATAAATCCCACTTGAAAGTAGGGTCTGGGGTAAGATGTACGCAGAGTCACAGACCTTACCTCAACCACTAGAATAGAGAGGCTGGTTCTGTGAAGACCCCAGGCTTGTGCATGATACAAGGTGTGTGCAAACAGGCAATAAGATAGGTAATATAACAGGCAATCAGGAAAACAATTGTGTGTGTACGATTCAATGATGTACTAAAACTTCATAGACATAAACCCAAAGGGGCAAGTAAAGTCACTCCTTTGGGACCATACGGCAGTTAACATGCCCAAAGTTCAGTGAGGCAGGCTTGGGGTAGGGCCTCCTCACCTTGGCTGAGGAGAGACACGTTTAATGAAGCATGAGGGGTGAGGTAAGGTGAGGGCTTCTTTATGTGAGGCGCATCAATCAATGTAATATAGCTTTTCAGGGCACATTTATTGAGAAAGATGTACCAAATTCTTATTTCTCATATGAATTCACAATTTCATTTTGATAATAATAAGTTTGATCTGTTTTACCGAGAAAGCAACTATTCTCAAAATCTCACTCAAAAGGTGCTAAGTTGGAATCCCATTCTAATTTCTTTGGATTTGCCCAAGATCTTTGGAATACTTTTATTTCTTGCAGGTGTGGCTTTGTAATTATTGTATCATGTATATATATATATATAAATGAACGCTTACGGCTTATGCATAAACTTATGTGTCTAATTAATTTCCACTTAGATGTTTAAGCACTAGAAAATCAATCCACCACCCAGCTCCATTTCATGCTTTTTAGAACACTGGTCACTATATGAGAAAGTTAATATGCAAAGAAGAAAACTTCTAATAATAATCCGACCCACTACTCATTCCATAATCGATTCCAAGAGACAGGAGTACATAAAATCTCGATTTCCAGGGCACTCACATCATCAATATCTAGAATAACCCAAACCAATCACACCAAGAGAAATTATTTTAAATCTGTAGAGAATGTTTATATATAGCTAACCCAAGACACCTCTATAAACCCTAGGCCGAAAAAACTACACTGACTCATAGTCTAATAGAACAAGTCTTTCATTTTACATTCTTTGCATGATAAGATAATAGGCCAGCTAAGGAAGCTAACTTCTTTATAACAAAAGAGAAGATACCTAACTGACTCAAAAACCTAAAAATCGGAAAATATTTATTCCCTCCATTCTGAGGGGAGAGGCACTCATGTACATATTGTTAATAGAAGTTAGGATCCATGATTTCGCTATATGTAGTATCCTTAAATTCTAATGTATTTATCGAAATTTCTTTTTGAATCAATAACCGTTCATATCACATTCAAAATTCACAATTAGTTAGTTTTACCTCAAATCCTCAATAACTAAATTATACCTCATATTGGCTTCCCTTTTTGGAAAGGGAGTGTGTTGAAAATAACTTCGAATCCAACTTAACAAATAAGGGCAAAGACAAATTCTTTTACAAGATAATACCCCCCAAGAAAAAAATAACCCAATCAGAAACAACCTGATTTGAGTAACTAGAAATTGACAAATGCAACATTGATATGGATCTTGTTGCAAACTTAACACCAATGCCGCTCAGTTTGTAGTACCAGTTACAAAGTTCTATGTACATGCCAAATCATTCTCCAGAAGTTCTTGGAATCCACTTCAACTTTGAAATACAAAAATAATGGTTCAAGTTAAAAAAATTAAGGTATATCCTTTTAGAAAACATAGATCATAGAATAAAATTCACCAGCATAATAAAATAACAAGAAGAAGATGAAGTAATTCCATTCAAGAACTCTAGAACCTCCTATTAGAAAGCAAAAACTAACGAAATTTCCTAATTTCACTGATATGCACAACTAACAAAGGATAAAATTACACTGAATTACACTAAAGAAATAGATGATGCATAGATCAATTTGATAAATTACTAACCAGCACAAGTTTTTTCTTTAGAGAGCTTATATATAAGGACGGCGATTCCAATGGAGTGAACAGCTTCGGCAGCAATAAACAGATTGTCATGATCGTGCACAATCGCACGTAGCAACACCAAGGCCACCATGCCAGCGACTACAGCCAAAAAAGCTTTCACCTTTGGCGGTTGCCGCCGTATCCATGACGATATCACGTGGATCGTCTTCTTCGGTGGCCTCATGTTTCTTTTGCGAATCTGCGTTTGTTTTGCCTCTATGTAATTTCTACGACGAGGTGGAAGTGGTGCGGGGGGCAGTGACGGCGGCGGTGGCTAGGGTTTGACTGCGGTGGAGATTCGGTGGCGATGAGCAGGGGAATTTTGGGGGAATTTTGGGTTGAGATCGGTTATTTCTAACTCCGACGAGCGTTTTGTTATGTATACAGAAAATATTATATACTTTTTAACAAAATAATATTTTAAAAATAATTTCATTAAAAAAATTCAAAATATATGTTAATTAAAATAACAATTAAGAGTGGTAGGTAAA